ACAAAACACAAATTTATACAAAATCGCATTCTTATTGGCTTAGCAGATGTACACATTTGTAAGCACTATCAAAACTATGATAGAATACTTTCAAATTATGTAAAATGTAGAACATTATCACTCACTCTTTTGATTGGCCCGTAGAGCTCCATCTCTCGTCTGAGTTTAGATTCAGAGGTATCATAATTCTATAACAAATATGAGTAAAAATACATGTAGATATGACTTTACATCTCCAAAAGAACAACATAAAAATTAATGGGCTCATCTTGTGATTTAGTGGGGCTCATCGTGTGATTTAAGAATATGAAGGATCAATAATACAGTGAAGAAGTAAAGATTGTCTACATACAATTCTTCCCACAAAAAGTGTCCTGAATGCATCAGTTCCCACTGCATTAGCATCATTATGAGGGTCCCCTGCAAAAAGAGTCCAACATGAATACATTTAGTATGGCCAGAATTTATTACAAGAGGTAAAAAGCTGAGCTTGCAGCATTTGATCCTTGTGGTATCTTTATAGGTAACGTCTGCTTACAAGCCAAGTGGCCCTAGTCAGGTTGGTGCTTATCTCCAGTTTCTATAGCATGAAATGACTAAGAGTATTTCTACCCCTCCCTCCCGTACTGGATGGGATGCTAGCCCATCCCAGGGTTACCCCCAGCATTAAATTTCCCAGTACCCATTTACGTACCTGGGGGAGAGAGGCACTGTGAGAGTAAAGTGTCTTGCCCGAGAACACAACACAATGTCCCTGGTCAGGGTTTGAGCCCAGACCGCTTGATCTGGAGGCGAGCACACTAACCATGAGGCCACCGCACCTCCACTATCTTTATAGGACTGTAGATGAAACTTGGCAAAGGCAAATATCAACACTTACATTGTTCTATCTGGTCTTCTTGAAACTTTGTTGTGCGCTCAATTTTTTCCTTCCTCTAAAATGAAAATGCCATTGAGATCAAAACTGGGAATGGTAATAAACCACAGTTTTAGGCTGATTTTGAATTGGAAGCTTTAGGGTAATCTACAAGGGATTTCTATTAAAAACTGTACCCTTTTATTATTTTCAGGGCATAAATTTTGATCAACATTGTAATAACTTACAGCTCACTACATAAATCTGTGAACTTGGGAAGCAAAAATAACGAAAAATGTACATATAGGCCTCCTTTCTTGTCTCTCACATGAATACGTTCTCTGGAACTTCAAGTAAAAAAAGAAGAAACACAGCCCACTCTCTTTCACATTGTATACATTTATTTATAAAAGCTACTTTACCTTTCGTTCAGTTTTTTCATCCCTTGTTTCTCCTCGGGTTGGTGGGGGAGTTAAGTTAGGATCCTTTGAAAACAAAGAAGATCAGAGTTGTTTACATCTGAAACTAAAGACATGATCATGTCCAGTAGAACTTCGCTACCTTGAGCTTGGCTATCCTAAACTTCCTGCTAGCTATCTGGAACTCAAATTATTTTCCCTTGAATATACTTTTCAGTCATTTACTATTGGCTACCTCGAACTCCCGTTATCTTGAACTTGTTTCATTTTCTTTGCAGGTTCGAGATCAGATAGCCAGTTTGAACTGTAACATATAACTGGTTACTATGTGTTAAACCATTGAAAGGTTTTGAATGTGATATGCTTGTAGTTGATGTGATACTAAAACAACAAACAACATTCCAAGATTTTAACTTACAGTTGTTTTGTTTGGTTTCAACTGACACGATCTTTGATATATACAAGACACAAGCTTACACAAATCGAACTAGTTTGATATTCCACATTTTGAGGGTTCATTTGGTCTATAAGGAAATTATTCATCTTTGTACGTTGCAATAAAAAAATCTATTATAAAGATCAATGTGTAAAGAGTAGTTTTTATTTAAGTTTGAAAATTCATAAACACCTGCCATATTCACACTAACCCTAATTAACTGACTATGAGCTCAAACTAAAATTGATGTAACTTATTTCTTTAGAGATCATCTGATCGATTTACCAGGATCTGATTAACGCCACACACCACACCGATGGCTTGTGGCTACGAAATCAACCCTGTTTTACTTAATCAGTTCAAGATCACACTATTGAGAACACTTTCCTATGGTAAAACAAGTTGCAAACAAGCTCCTTACCTCAAATTCTCTGACATACGTTGCGAGGCCGCTGTAAGGCCATGGTCGTTTCAACCAAGCTGGTTTATCCAAAGGTGCTAGGTAAGGAATCGGATCGCGCGGAGCGAATAATGCCAGCAAATTCGGCGGCAAAAAGGCCGTCATTGTCCTTCCAACGAATTTCCTATGTGCTCACGGTAAATTATAACCACTACTATTCAAAAACGAGTAGAAATTCAGTTCCGAAATTCAACGAACCGCCGTGAAGAACGCACCGCAATGTTTCATGTGCTTCACGAGGAGCTCGTCGAGGACTATGGGAGAAATACAAAACGCATTGTGATTGGTTAACAGATCGTCGTCCAATCAAATTCTATGTTAGTTCTTCATCGTCTCACAGTTTTCAAGATGGCCGACGAACAGAGAGCGCTTGGTCAATTAGTAAACATTAATATTCGCAATGGACTACAGTTTTTCAATAGGATTGATGACTTGACAGTCTCAAATGTTGGATTAGCTGCACGTGAAGGTGACGAGGAAACACTAAAACAGCTTCTTGCTTGTGGTAAGAATTTTAGCTTTTGTACTATGCGATCGAGTATGTGGACCGGTGGCCCTGTTGTTCAAAAGATAGATAACGCTATTCACCGTTTAAAAAACTATTCATATGCATTATATTATATTCTGGTTTCTTTTTTTTTTCTGGATAGCGATTTATTCGGGAAATAGTGTTATCCATCCCTTGAAGAAACTGGGACCTGATGTTAAAATTAAAATAACGCTGTGTTTCTATGTCCGGCAGCCGGACAGGTTTTTCAAAATACTCCGTGTCCAGCAGTCAAATTATTTTTTTTTAAATTTCAGTTAACAATGTCAAATCCTTGTTTATATGGCTGAATACTAATTTTGGTGAGCCCGGCACCCGGTATATCAGGATTTATAATGTAGACTATTATAAAGTGACCGGCAGTCAAAACGTTTGAATAGCAAATATCCAGTTAGCCTAAAAAGCACTGCGGTTAGCCTAAAAAGCACTCCAGTTAGCCTTAAGAGCTCTCCAGTTAGCCTGTGTATGGTTAGCTTTCAATAATGCTAAGGGTAACCTTATAAATAATTAAAAATTCCGAAATTTGCCAGCCGGTTGCCGTGGTGCAGTGGTCATGAGTATCGCTTGCCATGTCAGCAACCTGGGTTCGATTCCTCTTGGGGCCGCGTGTCCTAGAGTTCTTTTTACAGTGTTTTACTTTATAAAAAAATGCTAAAAAGACTAACTGCCAGACATGGAGTATTCTAAAACAACCTGTCCCACTGCCGGCCATGTAGCCACAGTGTTATTATAATCTACATCATTGGCTAGACTGTAGAATACCAGGCCACTCTTTTACATCTCACTGAATTTGAATGGTTCCTTTTGTTTCTATATCCTTCATTCTTAGAAGCACTGAGGGATATGCAAATAAGTGGCCCAGTATTGTAAATCGCTTTGGCATTATCTTGAATTACATAAAAGCGCATACACCACTACAAATTAAACTACAGATTAGAGACAAAGTCTGTACTCTTTTTCACCGTGTAGACTTGCATTATTTTGCTATTTGTATGGGATTCTTTGACTATGATGACGATTTATTTTGATCTATTAGTTTATTAGCTAACGCAGTCCTATATATTCAGCAATGAATTTGGACTTACATGGTACATAAATAAATAAATAAATAAATAATAGTGAAGCTTCATCAAGAATCACCTAGGGCCTTTCTTATAAAGTGATGTTGAGGAATAACGAGTGCAGAATACCTGGCCCAGCCATTTACGTGTGTCGGTTTGCTTTGAAGAACGAGGTATATAACAATAGTTGCTATTCTTATTCAATGAGATGCAAATGGCTGGGCCAGGTATTATGCATGCTTTCAAAGAATAATCAACTGTGTCATGACAACTTATCAAATGAATAGACTTAGTGTAACTATATAAACAAGTACAACACTCTTTATTCCTAATTAGAACATTTCAGTCAATACTGCAAGGTTATGATAGCACTCTTGCTTTTGTCAACTTCTCGTTCATATAACTCTTCTATGGTTCTTATTGCAGGAGAGACTGGAGACCTTTGTTTTAGAACTAATGCAACAATAATAAAATTGAAAATATAGAAGGTCCATTGCCAAAAGGAATCATAATAAAATTTAAAGTCGTTCTCAGGCTAGAAGGATATAAAAAAAAAACCAGCTTTGACTGCCTTAACTACAGTCTTCAAAGGGCAAAAACTGTAGCTAAGGCAGTTGAAAGCTTGTGCTTTTTATATACTTCTACCTAGAGAATGATTTTAGATTTTATTCTTACTACTGAAAAATATCCACTATCTTTCTCAGGATCTCCCTGTGATGTATCTGACAACCGTGGCTGGTTCCCTCTTCACGAGGCAGCTGCCGCTGGACAAACTGGTTGTCTAAGAAGCTTGTTAGAACACAAAAGTGAGGACATCATTAATTCAAAAGCTTACAGTGGCGAAACTGCTCTTTTCTTGGCAGCTGTGAGTGGTCATGCTGAGTGTGTGAAA